ACATGCTTCCCTTTGATTTCTCCTGACCTTCTCATTGTATAGCGGCTTTGCTTCTTCAACCTTTCTTTTAAGCCTTCTCTCTGCCTTTTTAATGAGCCAGCCCCCTTTCTTCAACTTCTTTTTTGCTGTCAGTTTCGTTTTGTGGGCACTTCTATGGGGTATGGGGAGTGGTGTGCAGTTTGTACCGTCAATATAATGCTGTCAGTTTTTGTATTGGGCCCTGTCTGTTCCAATTTGTATCAGGGAAAAGCACTTTTCATCCTGGGAATTCTAAAACACTATCAGTAAAATTATTGTTCCTCTGTGGTGCTTGATGTATGATATACAAACAGACTGGAATTTTGTGTAAAGACAGAGTAAATACTGAAAAGCAAAATAGTCTGTAACTGGGACAAGACTGAGAAATGGAAGATGTATTCTCCAGCACAAACATTTGACAGGACCTGCAGTATAGCATAACTCTTAACTCTTAAACATTTATATGCCGTCCTTTGCTGCAGCCTCAGGACGGCTTACAAAAATATCAATATAAATAACAATAAAATAACTAAGCAGGGAGGCATTTGCTGTGACTTTCCACTCAGACTGAACCATGCGTGTGAAAAACCTCAATGCTTCCAACTTTGCCTTAATTTTCCTCCATCAGACAAGTAAACAGGTACCAAGTTCGCACATGTAATCTAAATGCAATTTCAGAAAATAGATAAAAATGTTGCCAGGTGCATCGTACATTCTCAAAAATGTCCCTTGTTTTGGCTGAGTCTGTACATAAATACCAACCTCTAGAATCTGAAAAGATAGTTCGAAATTCTGGATTTTTTAAACTTAAACAGCAAGCTAAGATATAGCAGAACTAGGTTAACAGTGGAACCCTATGCATATTTACTCAGGGGAAAAGAAAACTGTTTACTGGGGCATGCTACCAGGTAAATGTGCACAGGATTGCATCCTAAGGCTGTGATCTTATGTACACCTATTTGGAAATACAACTCTTTGATTATGTACTTCAAAAGTTATTCATTGCAAACGTAGCAAATCACACTACTTATCCATTTTAACTACATCGATTGTTATTGCAGTAGGGTGGTTCAAGTCAGATCAGGTGTAGCCTTGTGAATATGTATGTTTCCTCCTGAGTGACTTGTGAGTTATCATTAATGCATCACTCATTCCTGAGAGCAAATAGCAGGTTCCTTTCTTCTAGTCTTGGTAATCATAGGATGACTAATATCATTTTACTTGGTAAAGCTAGTATGCATAGGCTTGGTGAGACAAAGGTAAGCTGAGATTGTCTCCAACCATCTGAGAACTAGATGAATGGTGTCCTGTAATGACTTTATTTGTGTTGACTAGTTGATTACTTATTTATAACATTCGTATCATGTCTTTTCCCCTCTTGCAAGGAATCCAAAGTGGCAGTAGTGAGATACAAAATATTTTATATGTTATGCTTTACTTGAATGCAAATATTACTAGAGAATTATGAATAGCCTCTTACCCGGTTGTGAACAGGATTTGATTCTAGCTGAGCAGGCTGGTGAACTAGGTTCTAGAGGCATGTAGAAAGATCTTGCAAATTGGAGAACTACTTTCAGAGTGTTCATGATAGGCACTTTGAAGGTAAATGTGCCAGTGACTATTACGATTTTATTTTAAAGGCTGGATTAATATATCTAAACTTTTGGCTTTCTGAATAGTAGTGATTCCTCTACAGTATTCTTTCGCCAAATAAGCAACATACAGAAATCTGTCTTCTGACATCACTGGAATTTAGTTCAAAACAGTTCCTAAGATGTCCAATAAAAATGAAATAATAATAATGGACCTCTCCTAAATGCCAAGTATTTAATGTGTATGTCTTAGCAAGATGTGAATTAATAAAGTAGTGGGAGTTGTAGACCAAACCAATAATAATAAAGATTTTGCATATGCTTAGTGCATTCTAGGGTTCAAAGCACTCCACATGCATTAAGAGTTGTAGTCCTCACAACAACCCTGTAAGGTTAGTTAGTATCATCATCATAATAATAAAATAATCATCATCATGATTGAGTTCATGGCAAAGATAACATTTGACCCGAAGACTTCCTGTTAGCTTAGGGGTGACTTTTGTGGGACTAGTTGTAGAACTTTTTCTGTTTAAGCATGCATTTAGACATAGGTTGCACCCTTGGGGCAATCCTATGGTCTCCCAACACTGAGAGCCAGTGTGGTATAGAGGGGGGGGGGGGACCTGGGAGCTCCAGGCTCTAGTCCCCACTTAGCCATGGAACTAACTGGGTGGTTTTGGGCCAGCCATAGAGACTCAGCCTGAGCTATCCCACATGGTGGTGGTTGTGAGGATAAGACTGAGAAGAGAAGGCGAAATGTGTAAATCACCTTGAGTTCCTTGAAAGGAAAACAAGGTGGGATATGAATGAATGAAGGATCACGGAGGATAGCGAATAGGATCATTTGTGCTCCAGCTCCAACTCTCTCTTCACAACTGGAACTCTGAGCACAAAGCCTCATCTTGACCCCCTCCCCCACCAGATGGAATTAAAGGGACATACTGGGGGGACTGGGAAGGGAAGGAGGCTGGGACCAACAGCCTTCTCCATATCCAAATGGTACCTCAGCTCTTTCCTTCCACCTGTGACATTTCATCTGAATTGCTAAAAATGACCGAGCAGATGAAATACAGAGTGCAAAGGAAGCCCGGCAAAGATTGCTGTCGCACCTTGTGTTGGATGCAGCTAAACCTCTGTGTTACTTGCATCAGAAGAGACAACATAGCATTGTGCCCTTGGTCTCTCAGGCAGTACGCTACTCCAGCGAGAGACATTAAGTTGCTGGTTTTTAAGCGCTCTGTGTTCTGAGACTTGCATAAATTTATCTGTCAGAGAACTTTTGCATGTCTGCCACAATACTACAAGTTCCAGAAGACAAGAGTGTCCGACATGGAAGGGCAGAGAGATTTTAGGGTCGCCTTCCCTTGCTTGGTACCCTCTGGATGCATTGGACTACATTTCCCATAAATCTGCAACCCAGAGTTAACCCAATAATAAAGCATGCGTGAATTAACTTGAGGTGGTTTAACACCCAAAGCACCTTGCCTTCTAGTTTTGATTGATGCAATCCTAGAAGGCAGGGTGCTGGCTTGCTGTCATTCAGGCTCACAATTGTTTAACCCAAAAATTATTGTGGCGTGAAAACTGGGCTACTTTGTAGCTCTTCGGTCTTTTTCTGCAGTAAGAAAAAAGACAAGTGGTGGGAAAACACAGGCAGGCTATGACTGGACCCCAGAACATTTTGTGAATGAGGCAGAATGTGAATGGTGAGAGAAAAACCTTGTCTGAAGCACCCCTCGGTAGAGAAGACGGAAGCGGAGGTGGTATTTTATTTTAACCCTTGAAGGCATTTGAAGCAGATTAAACTGCCATTTCTCCTCTCTCTGGCCATGTAGAATCTCGCAATGTTGTAGACGCTTGCTGTTAACATGAAGAAATCTGCAGTAAATCCAATTGCATCTCGAGTTCCTGCAGATGTTTAATTCCATTACTGAATCGATCGTGTTGCTGTAGCGAGGAGTTGGGAAGGGCTCCCTTTCACACGTTCGCTTGCTGTGTGTGTGTGTGGGAACAAGAGCTGTCGTTCTCTTGACACCATGCCAGAACAATGCATTGAGCTGGTCGACCAGCCAGTGATTAGGGACTCTTTACGACGGATTTCTTTTAAGAAGACAAAACGAAAAAATCAACTTGTTGAGCTTATCAGATAAATTCCTTTCTGTCGCCATAGGCGGAGGATAGTGACCTGTCCCAGCTCTTCACTCTCTGTCTCCTGCCCGCCCCCAGCCGCCCTTTCTCTCCGAATCTCTTCGCTGTTCTTATGATTAGCTATTAATTAACCCCGAGGCGCGGCCAGTGCGCGCGCGCTACGGGGAGTGCGGGTTGCCCAGGCATTAGCAGCGCCGGTGTCCTAGCACAACCCTTCTTTCAAAAAAAAAAAAAATCGCTTAATCTGTAGCGTTTGCCTTATAAAGTCAAAATGCACAATAGCTTCCTGATATACGTGCGCGCGCGCGTGTGTTGTGCTTGTGAAGGAGAGATCGTAGCTTTTTCCAAGGGGATCATATTCCCTCCCCTCCTCTGGAGCTTTTCTCCGGCACGTTCAAATCATTCAGATACACCAAAAGCTGGGCTTTCTGCCCCCGCCTTTTTTTTTTTTTTTTTTTTACACCTCGCTTCCGCCTTGGCCCCTGCAGCGTCTGCCTGTCTCCCTCCAGCCTGCCTCCCCCTCGGCGGGATCCGCGGGTGCAAGGAATCCATGTCACAGCTTGCGCCAGCCCTGCTGTCCCTTTGCTCCGAGTAAAGCCCACACATAGGAGACCCTTTGTTTGGGAAGGGTTAGGCAGGGAAGAGCGCTTTGGAAGCAGCTGGCCCCGCGCTGCCATTGGCTGAGGCTTTTCTGGAGCCTCTCTTCTCCCCCCTCCCCCCCGTTCCTCCCTCCCCCCCGTAATAATATTTGAGAGGCATGCCCAGCACGTCCCTAGTGTTGGCAGGCAGGGCTTGCTGTGCTGCTGCTTGCTGCTGCTGCTGCGGCGGCTGCTGCTGCTGCTGTTCCTTTATAAAACACCATGATAATAATACCCCAAAAGCAGCGTGAAGAAGTGCTACACTGTACAGGGTTCTTCTGCAGAAGGAAGCAAGATGGCTACCTTGTGGGTTTTGCTGTGAAGAATGCAGAGCCTTATTAAACCCGACTTTGAGTGGGGGAAAAGGTTATTTTTTTTCTCCTCCTTCCTTGTTAACCCTCTTTTTCCCGTTTTTGTTTTGATTCCGATGACTTCAGCGTCTAAAGTCTGAGCAGTTCCTTTTAAAGTTCTGCATAGAAAGCCCCTATGGTTGCGTTTTAAACATTGTGTTCTAATGTAACAAGGGGAAAAACTGTTTTTGAAAATAATAAATTTCTTTGCTTATTCACCAAGACTTAATCTTCAATGTGATGTCTTTCTTTAGGTGCTAACTGAAAACAAAAGGCCTCAGAGGAGAAAGCAAAGAGTTCGGAAGGTAATAACCGATCGTTTCCTTTATTAATAATTCGTACAAAAAAGCAGCCTATTTTTAACAGGCTTGCTTGAAATGGAAATAGAAAGAAAAGAGTGGAAATGCTAGAAAGTATTACTTTCTGGATTTTCATATTTATGGTTAATAGTAGAAGCTCATAGTGTTTTGTCTTTCCCTGAATATGGTGTGTTTTGCAGGGATTTAACTCTTTGTGCACAAAAGCTGCAGGTCAAAATGTTATCACTTCTGATATATTGGAAATGACTTGTATTATTATAAAGGCTGCAATTCTACACTTACTGTGGAGTAAGCCCCAGTCAGTCATTAAGAGTTACTTCTGAGTAATTATGCTTATGCTTGTGTTGAAATTGACACTTTGGTTCTTAAAGTGTGGGTTGCAGTTAAGATTTATGCAAGTTCTATGTACAGTGAGTATTAAGTGTGGGATGTCAACATTTGGATATTCGGTGTGGGGACTTCACTTTCATGTTTCCAAAATAAATATGAATTCCTGTTTGCTCTATAACCATTGGCACTTTTCAGACAATTGTGGTCTGAAATTGGTAAGTGTTTTAAAAATTAAACTGGATTTTCTCACAAAAGGTGTATCCTCTTCCCCATAAATGCTTGATGAATTAAAAACCGGCTCTTAAAGTAAGTGAAGTATCGAAAGTGGATTGGTGTGGGATAGAGCTCCTGAGGCAAAAAAGCAGCAGAGAAAAAGTTTTCATGTGCATGTTCATTGTTATTTGTGCACATACAACTGACCCATATCCATAGCTGTCCTGTACTTTTCAGTTAGACAGGGAATTCCTGTGCACGTGCAGAGGAAATCCCTGTTTACGATGAGGAATCCCCACCCTATAGTTGAGAATTAGGGCACCTCCCACATAGGCAGACTAAGTGTGTCATCGGAGCTTTCCAGAATTCTGGATCTTGGCCGATGTGTTTAATGTCGGAATTCTGAAACGATTGTGTATACATGTTGGCATGTTCGTATTGGGGTGTTTGCCTGTGACTCTGGCCAACTGCATGTAGTATGATGAGCCCTGGCGTGGTTGCTAACTTAACTGGTACACCACATTTTATGAACTAGGACGAGACTCAAAGACTACTTGGCGTGAGTGGTGGAATAGTAATTTTTGTGTTTTGATGCTGTGCTGGTTTGAATGTGCTATCAAAAAAATCAGGCATGTGATTGTTAAACAAAACAGAAGCACATAAATGGAGCTATTAATAAAATAAATTAAATGGGTTCCTTAAATGCTTGGGGTAGGTTTTAGAGAAAATATTAGTACCTTGAAACGTGGTGGGACTTAACCTGCAGTCTTGTGCATAAGGCACAGTTTACTCATAAGAAAGTCCCATTTATAGATCTGTGCTATGTTCCATTTGTATTGCAGATGGTGATGTATACTGAGGTTTGTTACTTGTGCTATGTGTATTTTTAAATACACTCATAATTTCTATTGGCACTGTACTCAATCACTTTTTATGATCTTTTGCACCTGGACCTGGGATACCTGGTTGATTTTATATTACTTGAGATACTTTCATAGCTGTTTGTAGCTGAGACATTAACTTCATTCACATTTTAACTAAAAACTAGATATTTAGGCTACAAGCTTCATTTGGCAGTCTTTTCCCTCAAAATCAACTGGACTTATTTTCGAGTAGATATGTTTCAGATAGTGGCTCCAGTACTTAACAAGAAATGATAATTTAGAGATGGAAGTAACAGATCTGTCTACAACCAAGAAGCTATTTGGGCAGATGCTACTAGGAAGTTGCCTTGAACATGCTTCATTCCATTTTGCTGTGCTGTTGTGCTACACAGATGCTTTGCTTGTTGCTTGGCAATGGAACCTAACTATGGATTGTGCCAGTTTGGCTCTACTGAGGGTAGTGAAATCCTGTACCCGCTTAACTGGGAGTAAACCCAGTTGAACTCCACTGGTTTTACTTCCGAGTAGATAAGCCCAGGATTTTGCTGTTAGTCAACTTTGGCTGTGCTGAAGGGTGTCATCCAACATGCTTTCCTTGGAAAAATGGAAGCAATATGGTAAATGTAACAGGCCTGTTCAAGTTTGCTTAAAAAGCACCTAGATATTGGATGCAGTAAGTCTTGGGAAAGATTTCCAATTTAATTAGTACAAATTTACCTTTTTGCCGAGCTGCATTTCTTTATTTCATAGAAAAGCTTTTTTTTCCATTTTGGGGACTGAACATATATTTTTCTGTACTGGGTACAGTTGGCTCCTGGGCTTGGGCAGGTGGCAGTACTGGGTACTTGAGTCTTGCTCCCAGGTAGTGCTTTGTATGTATACAGCCATGCGTGCACCCCGTGTGTGCCCCCACAGTGTGTGTGGACATGACAGTTCAGCTGGGAATCCAACGACTTAGGCCTAAACTTTGATGAGCCGTGTGAACTCTTTCTGCTTACAGTGTACAAAAGATCATCTGGTGCCAGAGTTGGGGTGCATCTGCTACCATATCTGGGGTGGGGAAGTATGTAATGGACTATTGTATGATCCAAGGAGATGTCACTGCTGGTGGAAGTTGCCCAGCACAAGAGGAACTTCTGTGGATTTCTGAATCAGTGCCTCGCCCAAAGCATTAGAACAAGGTTTCGTTTCTAGCAACAGGGTACTCCGAGGCGTGAGGAAAACTGTAACTGTCCATTTTGTTTTGCACGTGGTTCAGCTGGGGTTGACAACAGGACCGTATTCTCTGCCATCATTGTGTGACATGCTGCTTCCAGCTTGGTATGACTGCTGTAGAGAAAATAATTGAGCATCTGAAATAATGCAAATATTCGCAAGGGTTACTGTGAAAGCCCTTCAGGGTTTACTTAGCTCAAAAATGGCACCCACTGTAGTGGTTAGTGGGTGGTGTGTTGCTTCCAGTCCAGCACAAAACAAGAGAGGGCTTGTGGTATCTCATCTTGTTTTGTATGGACCACCCATCAAATTTCCACAGAGTGAAACATTGTTTTCAATTGGATGGGGCTATGCAACAAGCATTCAGATAGTGGGCACTTGTCTCTATCTACTAGTGTGCCTGATATTCTTTGTGCAGATAAGCATGAGGGTTTGTTTGCTTTTTTTGCAATTTGATTATTTATTCTGTATTTTTAACAATACATGTAGATAGTTAATTTTCCTCCATTCATTTAGAACAGACAAAATTGTTGCAATTATTAATTACTGTTATTATTATATTGATTTGTATATCACTTATCAAAACATACCAAGTGATGATTCAGACCTTATTTTGTTCATCTCTAAGTCATTTTACTGCATTTTTATGACTTTCAGATCTTTCACTTGTGCATTCACACACATTCTGTACCTTTTCTTGTCAAGTTTTTTTCTTTTTGTATTTAAATGAAGATTTGTAATTTTGATAATTGAAAGAAGTACTGTTTAATTACCTTACCTTCAACTGCCTTATCTTTTTGACAGGAAAGAAAATGAAATTAGATTGTGTTTTCTTTTTATGTGCCCTGCCATACTTAATGTGTGTGTTTGTAAATCCATGAGCGCTTAGAGTGTAAACCTGTGAATGTTTAAACCAAGAACTCCTTCCAATGGGAAATAGTGGGAGCTGCAGGTCCTCTCGCATAGGATTGTTTCTTTAGTGTATTTAGCAATTGGTTTTAAAATTAAGTGTGAGCTATCTCTAGGCATCAGTGCTGCTTTTTTCATTGTGTTGCATAAAGAATTCTACAGAGCTTCTCCTTTTGCTGGATACACTAACAGTCAAATGCTTTGCACACTTTGTTGGAGATTACTGTCCCAATAACTAGCTTTGCCTTTTATCTGTTTTTGTAACTGTATAGCTTACTGTAGTCCAGACACAGTAAGGAATTGGATGCATTAGTTCAGGGATGTAGAACATCTGACCTGGAGGCAAAATCTGTTTCTTTGAGGTCTCCTCCCCCGACCCTGCTCCCCTCTCCCTCCCCTCAGCCTAAGTTATTGGCAGTAAGAGCTTTGAGCTAAACTGCTGGAGTGTTCCTCCTTCCAAATTCAAATCACCAAATGCAAGTAGCCTGCATTATATTTGAATGTGATTTGCAGGTTCTCAACAATTTATTGGATATCTGTTATGAAGATGCTGATGTAAACTGAGAACTATAACTGTGTAATACAAAATTAAATGAAAAACAGTTATCAGAAATAAACCATTAATTACCATCACACATACAAATAGAAAATGTTGACTGTTTCTAATAAACTATGGCAACAAGATGCCATGAATATTCAATGTAAAGAGGTAAAGGATTTGCGCTCTGTGATCTTAGAAAAAAAAACTTGTGCAGCCCAGTCTGTTTCCCTACTCTTCAAGTTGTATTGAATGACATCTCCCTGGCTGGCTGGGCAATTGTAGGATTGGTGAATGGCATCTTAAAATTAGAATTACAGTGTCCCAAATTCCTCTTAGTACCCTCTTAATCCAGCCAAGTTCCTAACTTGGAATGGGGAAAGACTCTTGTGCTTTTAATAGCCCTTTGCTTCATTGGAGAAGATAGTATCAAAAGAATGGGGCAAACAGAAATGGGAGCAAAGAGATAATTTAGGTTATTTAAAAGAAGTTATAGGAGAAAGAAAATACTGCTCATTGTACTGATAGCCCTTGAGAAGTGAAGAACAAGAGGTGGATTTAGTATGAAAGTTATAATAGCAAATAGCAAGACCACATCTGTCTAGCTGCAGCTGAGTACAAAATAAACAAGGAAAAGCTGTTGGGGTCCATATTGTAACATAGCTAACAGAACTGACGTGAATCATTCACCAAGGGTATCTTCAAAAATGACTTGATGGAGTTCAATCAACTGTGAAGTGTAATTTATTAATATGCATGATACAAGGACGCAACCCAAGTGTCAGATTTGTTTATGTCCCTGGACAATTTCAAATGATGATTCAGCCTCTCTGAGGGCACCATCCTATGCAGGTCTTTGACAGAAAAAGCCTACAGACCTGTGCATGCTCCAGCCA